GATAGGGTGATTATAATTAGATAATTATAATATACTGCATATTTCAAAACTATTACACAAATTTATATATATATATATATATATATATATATATATATATATATATACACACACACACACATATATATAAAACCAGATTGAATCAAGGAGCACTTAACCACTGAGCCACATACCCAGCCCTTTTTATTTTTTGAGACAAGTTCTCTCTAAGTTGCTTAGGGCCTTGCTCAGTTACTGAGGCTGGCTTTGAACTTGTAATCCCCATTCCTCAACCTCCTGAGCCATATTTTTATTTTCATTCAATATTTTTGTTTCTCTTGAGAATTCCTATTTGGTCCATGATCCATGAATTATTGAAAAGTGTGTTGTGTGATTTCCAAATGTTGGAAGATTTTCCTGTTGTATTTCTGCTATTGATTTCTAGTTTGATTCCATTGTGATCAGAGATACATTCTGTATGACATAACTTTACTTATTTTAAATTTGAGATCAACTTTACCATCCAGGATGCCATCTATTTTGGTTCCATGGTTATTTAAAAACAATGCTTTGTCTGCTGTTGTTGCCCAAAGCGCCATATTCTACACGTGTTTATTAGATCCCTGTGTTGGAATTCTGCAGAGAAACAGAACCAAGAGTATATACAGAAAAATAGAAGAGGACATTGATTATGGGAATTGGCTCGTGTATCAGGGGGCCAAGAAGTCCATGATTCCATCTGTGCCCCAGAGAACCAGGAAAGCTGGTGGTGTAATCCAGTCTGCAGCCTGAGAAACACAAGAACCGAGGGTACAACTCTCAGTCCAAGGTCAAAGTCCTGAGAACCCAGGGGCCGCTGGGGTAGGTCCTGGAGACTAACGGCCTAAGAACCAGAAACTCCAATATTTAAAGAATGGAGAAGACAGATGTCCCAGCTCAAGAAGTAAGAGCTTTCTCCACCTGTTCAGGCCTTCAATAGACTTGATGATGCCTGCTCTCATTGGTGAGAACAGATCTGTACCCAGTCAACTGACTCAGAGTCCAATCTTTCCCAGCAGCTCCCTCATAGACACGCTCTGCAGGGACAAAACATAGACCCCCACAGCACACCCCAGTGATCTACCCTTTCCAGCATCTCCCTACCTACCTACAGTCTCCACCTAGTTGATCCTTCAAGTTGATAATACACTGATTAGGTTAAGGCTCTTGGAACCCAATCACTTCACCTCTGAACTTTCTTGTATTGTCTCACATATGAGTTTTGGGAGATACCTCATATCTAAACCATAACAATACATAATAAATAAAGGAAGGCTGAGTTAATCTCCAGTCTACATAAAGAATTTTAAAAACATGAAAAAAATGTCCCAATCAAAAAACGGGCAAAGGCACTGAACAGAAGAACTATGACTGGTCAACAAATATATGAAAAAAATGTTCCACATCTCTAGCAGTTAGAGAAATGCAAATTGAAACTACACTGAGATTTCATCTCACTCCAGACAGAATGGAAATTATCAAGAATAAAAGTAACAGTAAAAATGAGGATGTGGGGGAAATGCTCGCTCATACATTGCTGGTGGGACTGCAAATCTGTGCAACCCCTCTGGGATGCAGTATAGAGATTCCTCAGAACACTTGGAATGGAACCACCCTCCGACCCAGTTATCCCACTTCTCACAGAACCAATGCCAAAAAACCAAAGGCCAAATGTCCTCTCTAACACGCAGATGCTAACACTCAATAAGGGGGTGAGGTGGGAAAGAACAGAAGGACTTTGGATTGGACAAAGGGAATGGAGGGAAGAAGGGGAAATAGGAATAGGAAAGACAGTAGAATGGATCGGACATTGCTATCCTGTGTTCATATGTGAACACAAGACCAACGCAACTCCACATCACGTACAACCAGAAGAATGGAAGTTGTACTCCATGTGTGTATAATATGTCAAAACACACTCCACCACCATGTATAACTAAAAATAACAAATAAAAAACGTTAAATTCAAGAAAAAGGGAAGACTGAGGGAAATATTTGCAATACATATGACAAACCAAAAGTCWTTTTTCCTAATATACAAATTGAAGAGAAAATGACAAACATTTCAATCGAAAAGATCTGCACAAGCAGTTCTCAGAGAGTAAATGCAAATATCAGTAAATAGAAATACTTCGAATGTGCTGAGAGTAGATTTTAAGTGTTCCCAACACAAAAAAATAAGTATGTGGGGCGATGGATATGGCAATTACCTTGATTTTGTGATTTCACAATGTATGCATGTACCAAAATATTATGTRTATACTGTGCGCAATGTAATACTTTGATACATGTATACATGGTGCAATCACTAAATATATTCATATATATAAATTTTTGTCAATTATAAAATATTTTATAAATCAAGATGATCAGTATCACTAGAATGAAGAGAAAGAAACTTAAAAAGAACATTATCGGCATAGCTAGAGCGAAAGAGGACATAAAAATGACCAGAATGTTTGAGAAAGTGCCAGWTAGAATACCTAGAAACAAAACCTGTAACTGCAGTGGAAGCAAAAACAAAGACACTGTTTGACTGACAAAGGATTGCTCAAGAAAACAGCAGCGGAACCCTGAAGACTGCAGAATATTGGGCTCTTAGAAAACAACTGCTAACTTGGCTCAGAATACAGAGTGAAGCCTTCTCTCTCTCCCTCTCTCTCTCTCTCTCTCTTTAAGAATAGGAACAAACAAAAGTTATTTCAGACAGCAAAAAATGGGAGTGCTAACCACCCACAAATCCTCACCAAAGGGACTTCTAAAGAAAGGCCTTTAGGGAGAAGAAAAAATCATTCCAGAAAAAAGTCAAAGGTGCAGGAAAGTGTACTGAATTGGTTCAAACTCTTTAGGAAATAGTTTGCCATCAGCTCAAGAAGTCGAAGAGACACACACCCTGTGACCCAGCTACTTCAATCCCAGGAACATAACCTACGGGAATCCCTGTCCCTGTGCACCTGTGAACACAAGCAGAATATTCATAGCATCTTTTTAAAATATTTTTATTTTTTTAATTGTAGTTGGACAATACCTTTGCTTTATTTATTTATTTATTTATTCATTCATTCATTTATTTATTTATTTATTTTTATGTGTTGCTGAGAATCAAACCCAGGGCCTCGCATGCGCTAGGCGAGCGCGCTACCCCTGAGCCCCAACCCCAGCCCTACAGCATCTTATTCTTAATAGTTGCAAATTGGAAACAATCCAGAAGGTCAAATAGATAGACTGCATAGAGTCATACAACAGATGATCCAACAACAAAAATCAATGACATACAGCTATATGGATCAGTGTGGATGGAACTCATAACGTTGAACACAAAAAGGTATGCCCAGAAGAACACTCTCYAAATGGCTCCTATTATATAAAACACAAGCATATGACGTTAAAAAAAAGCACATTTTAAAAATACAGAGTTCAATTCTAAAAATATAGAAAAGAAGAGCAAGACTTTGTTATCATCAGCTTCCTCGGGATAAAGGGAAGGGTTGTGACTGGGAAGGAACAAGCAAGGGACTTCTAATGTTGCAGATCTTGTTTTACTTGACCTCAGTGGTCACTTCACAGTAGTTTGTTAGATCAAACACTAATGTTTAATGCATATTTTATTTTTATATCTTTTTCATAATACTTTTGCAAAAAGAAAAAGCATCTTTTCCTGTTTTCTTYCATTTGCACAAATGGAACTAGTCAGTCCGGAAGCCATCAGGTGGGACAGATCAAGGTAGGCATCTGCCCCAAGGGGAAAGAAGCCATCGTGACCCAGTGTGGGTGTCAGAGCCACGACAGGAGAAGGGCATCTCTGTAGAAGGCTGCTGGAACCTAGTTAGGTAGGAGACTGCCCAGTGGAGGGTGGGGAGCAGCACARTTTGGTAAGAAAGGCATCCACCTCCGTGGGCTGGGGGGGTGCTCATGCAGGGAAACAGCCCAGGGAGGAACCCAAGCCTGGAGCCCCGTCAGGAAGTCGTTCCCGTGGACAGAGGCTTGGTTGTGGAGGAGGATGTCCATGTGGGAGGTCAAGACCCTGTACACGGTTAAAAAAACAACAACAACTTGAGCAGGGTGACAAGGGACGTCCATTCCTGGGGCCAACAGACATAAAGGAGATTGAGGAGGACATCCAGAGGTTAGAGTGGCCTGCCATGAGAAGTCACAGCCAATGAGGAGAGGTTCCCCAAGAATCAGTCTGCCCAAGACGGAGCAGGCTGAAGAGGTACCAATGTGTAGGAGCAACCCAACGTGGCTGTCGGAGCCCAGGTAAGGTACGTTGGGCATCTGCAGGGCAAGTGTCCCAATGTTCAGTCGTCTGAAACAGGGTAGCTTTATATTTTCTCAGAAAAAAAAAAAAATATATATATATATATATATGATGTATATACATACACATAAACATACACATCATTTTTTAATTCAAAAGGGAGCCATAATGATGGGATATATCATTGATCATAGTTTCGGATTCCATCTTTTCTTTAAGGAGATTGGGTTTCTGCCCGTTGCCTTGTGATTTGCAGTTATCTCTTGTGAAAGGAATAGGCGTCCCTGCCTCTTTGACTTTGAACTTGGCTGTAATCTGTGCTCTGGCCAATGAAATGGATGTAACCTGGGCATGAAAAGGACGTAACCAGGATGTAAGCCAGGTGGGTCTCTGCCAGCTCCACTGTGGCTTCCCCTCTGCCATGTGAGGGAGCCAGGCAGGAGCTGCTCCTTCATCCCCCTCCTGGAAYAGAGAAGTCGAGACAGGAACCAAGATTTCTTGAACAAGAAAAATATTGTGGCAAGTCCTGGAGAGCTCAAAGCTACTTGKACCCCAAACAAAAGCAAAGCTAATAAAAGTGCAATTGATGCTCCTTATTTCTGGTAGTTATGTTCTCTAAAGTCACCAAACTAGCAAATACTGAGCCATTGCTCCTGGGAGAAAATCCCAGGGTTAGCCTCCTTTAAGCCTCCAGTCACCTTTTCATAAGCTGGTTGATGCACAACCTTGTTCTATGGGTGCTTCTGTTGGTTGGTTGGTTTTTATGGTACCAGGGGTTGAGGCTCAACCATGAAAACAGGGCCTAGGATTGGGTGTTCTTCCACTGAGCTACCCACCCCCAGCCCTTTCTATGATTTATTTTAAGACAGGGTCTTGCAAAATTACTGAGGTTTGGCCCAGAACCTGTGATTCTCCTGCCTCAGCCTCCCTGGTCCCGGGGATCACAGGTGTGTACCACCATGCTTGGCACATGCTTCTATTTAAAGAACTGTGTTTTTTAAATGTTGTTTTATAAACATTGAATCATGACCAGCAGTACTATCACTTGTGCCTGAATGACGTCATCTAACAAATGTGTTTTCTTGGTAAGGCACATCACAGTCATCTTGCTCTTAGAAACACAAGTTAGCACTTCTGCACCACCCTTGRGGGCCATTTTGAACAGTGAAATCACCAATAAAAAAACMCAAAAATGTGAAAAGTGCAGCACTAACTAGACTGTAGAAGGGCCCCCAGTTTAGAGTTTGAATTGAMCCAAGGATTCACCTTCAGGTGGGAATGTGCGTGTTGGGTGACTCTGAGTGACAAATTTTAGCAAGTAGGTGAACTTGCAAGTACAGAATTCAAGAGTAAGAAGAACAGACCATAGAAAACTCAAGATTGTAGAAATGAATCCACATGTGTCATAAATACCAATAATAAAAGTCAATTAATAGGCAAAAATTGCCAGCCAGCATTTTTTAAAAATGTAGATTGACGCTATTTAAAAGACAAAAGATAAGCACTTGAGATGGCTGAATGCAAAAAGATGGGAAGAAAGCCTAAGCAAATGCAAATAAAAAGAAAAATATAGTTAGATTAATATCAGGTAATAAAAAACTGTAAGATAAAGATCAATTTGAGAGAGAGAGAGATGGGGATCTCTAGATAATAATGAAAGATTTAATTCACTGGGAATGCATTTGTATTTACCTAAATCAATAGAATCAGGACATATGGTAAGCACTGAAGCAATTATAGGCATAATTCAAGAAATCCATGGTCATGTTGAGAGCCCTCAACATTCTCAATTATGGATAAGTCAAAAGGACAAAAAAATTAGGAAGATTTAAAATATTTTAGCAACACATTATAGATATGTACAGGGAGTGCTCCAAAYTTAGCATGTATTATCTGTGCAGGAGTTATTTAGAAGGTAAATTTCTTTAGAGAAGCTTACGCACATGCTCTGGCTGGGTTTAGGGAAAGATCTATCAGCCAGACCTTTGGAGTAGCTGTCCTTCTCCAGGTCTTCTGTTCAGGCTCAAAGCACATTCCTGGTTGACTGGCCATGCAGCAGATCACACTATGCCACTGGGATGAAGAGGTTGTGAACAAGCTCTCAACCATGAAAACAGGACCTGGGATTGGGTGTTCTCCAAGTGGGGGAGCAGTGAGTGGTAGCAGAATTTAGCAGAGTATTACCCATAATTTCTAAAAGTCGTAACCTGGAAATTCACACTGCTCTCCTAGCTCCTTTCAAGTGCAAAATGCTTCTCAGTTTACTACAAGGAGAAACTTCTGCCATCTGGAAAGTCTGGGCCAAAAGGTAGGTTCTGAATGGTATGGGTTTTTAACAATGTCTAATCCTTCAACCCATGAACGTGGGCTATCTTTCCATTCACTCCTGTTCTTCAGTGTCCTACGTCAATGTTTTACAGTTTTCAGAACACAGATCTTTCACTGTTTTATTTAAAGTTACTCATCAATATGTTTTTGTGGCACTGTAAATGAGATTATTAATTTCTTTTTCAGATAGCTTATTGTTAATGTATAGAAACACTACTGATCTTTGCATGTTGATTTTGTATCCTGTAATTTTACTGAATTCATCTACGAGTTCTTTTTTAAGAAATATTTGTTTTTTAGGTGTAACTGGACACAATATCTTTATTTATTTATTTTTATATGATGCTGAGGATCAAACCCGGAGCCTCGCACATGCTAGGCGAGTCCTTCTACCACGGAGCCACAACCCCAGCCCCATCTATGAGTTCTAATAACTTTTTTTGGTAGAGTCTTTAGGRTTTTCTATGGAAGAATCACGTTATCAGCACACACATTGTTTCGGTTCTTCCTTTGTTATTTGGATAATATTTATTTATTTATTTATTTATTTCTACTAATTTCCATGGCTAGCACTTCCTATAGCATGTTTTTAAAAAGGTGAGAGTAGGCATCCTTGTCTTGTTCCTAATCTTAACAAAAAAGCTTCCAGCTGTTCACTGATGAGTGTGATCCTAGCTGTGACGTTGTGCTATGTAGACTACTGGGTTAAGGTAAATTCCTTCTCTAACTAACCTATTGAGATCATAAACAGATGCTGAATTTTATCAAATGCTTTTTCTACATCCACTGAGATTATCACATGGTTTTCCCCTGCATTCTATTAATGTGGTGTATTAMATTTATTGGTTTTTGTAGTGAATGATACATTTTAAAATTAATTTTTATTTTATAACTGACATGATATTTGTACTTATTTATAGTTATAATATTATAATTTGATATGTGTATCCAATGTATAATGATCAAATCAGGTTGAGTAATTATCTCCTCTAATATCATTTCTATGTGTTGAAAAACTTCAAGGTCTTCCTTTCTAGTTATCTTTTTTTTTTAAAGGGAGAGAGAGAGAGAGAAAGAGAGAGAATTTTTTAATATTTATTTTTTAGTTTTCGGCCGATACAACATCTTTGTCTGTATGTGGTGCTGAGGATGGAACCCGGGCAGCACGCATGCCAGGCCAGCGCGCTACCACTTGAGCCACATTCCCAGCCCCTTTCTAGTTATCTTGAAATATTTTTTTAAGAGAGAGGAGAAAGAGAGAGAGAGAGAGAGAGAGAGAGAATTTTTTAAAATATTTATTTCTTTTAGTTATTGGCGGACACAACATCTTTGTTTGTATGTGGTGCTAAGGATCGAACCCAGGCCGCACTCATGCCAGGCAAGTGAGCTACTGCTTGAGCCACATCCCCAGCCCATCTTGAAATATTTAATTAATTGTAGATATTAGTTGCCCTACTGTGCTCTAGAACATTAAAGCTACTAACTGTATTTTGATCCCATTATTCACTCTCCCTCCATCTTCTCTCCCCATACTCTTCCTTACCTCTAGTGACATCTAGTCTACATTCAACTTTAATGAGCTCAACTTTATTTTACTGATTGATTGATTGATTGATTGTGCTGGGGATTGAATCCAAGGATGCTCTACCACTGAGCTACATCCTCAGCACTTCTTATTTTTTTATTTTGAGATGAGATTTCACCAAGTTGTGAAGCCTGGCCTCAAACTTGTGATCCTCTTGCCTCAGCCTCCTGAGTGGCTGAGATTATAGGCATGTACCACCTCACTCACTTGATCAACTTTTTTAGCTTCTACAAATGAATGAGAACRTGTGGTATTTGTCTTTCTGCAATTAGGTCCTTTCACTTAACATACCGTCCTCCAGTTCTACCCATGTTGTCACAAGTCACATGATTCATCTTTGTATGGCTGAATAATATTGGGTTGTGCATATATAACATTTTTGTCTTAATTATTATACATGACAGTATTTTTATCCATTCACCTATCAAAGAATATCTTGGTTGATTCTAAAACTTGGCTATTGAGAATAGTGTGGCCATAACATGGGTGTGCAGGTCTCTTTTTGATRTAATGACTTCATTTCCTGTGGACGTACACCCCACAGTGGCATTGCTGGGTCACCTGGTGGTTCTATTTGTTTTCTGAAGAATCTCCATAGTATTTCCATAATGGCTGMMCTAATTTACATTCCCACCAACAGTATATAAAAGCTCTCCTTTTTCTATATCCTTACCAGAAATTTTTATTTTTAATCTTTTTTTTCACAATAACAGTGGATAATTCTTTCAATGTGTCACTGAATTTGCTTTCCTAATATTTTGTTGAGGATTTTTGTATCTATGTTCATCAGGAGCATTGGACAATGCTTTTTATTTTCTTGAAGTGTCTTCTCCTTGCTTTGGTATCAAGGTGATGCTGGCTTCATAAAATGAGTTTGAAAATACTCCTGCCATGTCAACTTCCTTGGAAGAGTTTGAGAAGGACTGGTCTGCAGTTCTCCTTTGCTGTGTTTAGTAGAATTCAGCATTTGAGCCCCTGGGTTCTGGAATTTTCTTTAATGGGTTCTGGGATTTCCTTTGACTTGGTCTTACTGATTTAATCTCCTTACTCATTGTAGGACTATTCAGATTTTCTATTTCTTCATGATTCAGTCTTGATGTGTTTCTAGAAATTTACCTATTTCTTCTAGGTTATCCAAATTGTTAGCAAATTATTATTCACTTTTTTTCAGAAATAGACAAAACAATCCTAAACTGCTTAAGTTGCCACAAAAGACCCAGTACAACAGAGACACAGCCACATCAATGTTTATTGCAGCACAATTCACAATAGCTAAACTGTGGAGCCAACTTAGATGCCCTTCARTGGATGAATGGATAAAGAAAATGTGGTATACATACACAATAGAATATTTCTTAGGATTCAAAGGGAATAAAATCTTGSCATTTGCAGGTAAATGGATGGAGTTGGAGAATATAATGCTAAGTGAAGGTAGCCAATCCCAAAAAACCAAAGGCCCAATGTTTTCTCTGATACAAGGAGGCTGATTCATAGTAGGGTAGGGACGGGGAGCATGGGAGGATTAGATGAACTCTAGATAGGGCAGAGGGGTGGGAGGGGAAGGGAGGGGGCATGGGGGTAAAAAAGATGGTGGAATGAGATGGACATCATTACCCTAAGTACATGTATGAAGAAGACACAAATGGTGTGACTCTACTTTGTATACAACCAGAGATATGAAAAATTGTGCTCTATTTGTGTAATAAGCATTGATACACACACACACACACACACACACACACACACACTAAAAATTATAACCGAATACCCTCAATTGTTTGGAAGTCCTGTTCGTCTGTGTCCCCCCTCCATATCCACCCCAGGAGCCCTGCTTCTACTAATAGGCTGTGGGCTCATCGGACCAGCCAATTCTCAAGACTCAGTGAACAGGTATATCTGGGTTAAATTTCAAACCAAAAGTACGACTTGATCATGCGAACTTAAGACACACAGGGCCTCTTGTCTGATCTCTCAGGGGACTGAAGAGATGGCACGGTTTCTGACTCGGGAACTTCAAAGCTGAAAGAGCCGTGGGTGGTATTGGGGCAATCACTGTTTCCCTGTGGTCTGTTTCCTGTTGAACATTTATCAAGCACTGAYCATACGCCAGTCACCGTGATTTGCTACAATAGTTCAATTAATCCTCATGTCTCAGAGGAAGCTTTTGCTATTATTCTTTCCTTTATGAAAAGCTGAGGCTTGGTGACAGGCCAGACCCCACGGGTGGGAGTGGCTGGATCTGGGAYGTGAACTCAGGTCCAAGTGCAGGCATCCACTTTTCTACCATCCTATATTGCTGAGTTAAATCTTCATCCTTTCTCATCTTAATCCCCACAGTAAAAGCAAAGTTTCCAGGTTAGTTGTTTTATTTCCATTTTCCATATGAGGAAACTAAGGATCCAAGATATGCTGTAGTTAAAGTGACCAAGCCAGGACCCAAGTCAAGATCACTGGATTGGGGTTGTAATCACCACTAATAAAGAGTCCAGGAACTGTTGTAGAATTGGGGGAAGATACAGCATTAGAATTCTGGGGAGGAGGGAGCAAATGTGGATACGGTGACATGTCTTCACTTTAGACACCACATAATGTGGCTTCAGGATGCTGGAAGATCTCTGCATAGCTTCCTCAAGATCTGATTCCATGTATAAATGAGGCACACATGAATAAATGGCATAAAGATGAGTCAGTCTCTCTCTCTCTCTCTCTCTCTCTCTCTCTCTCTCTCTCTCTCATTTTGAAATGTGTTCTCTCCAAGAGTTACTAAAGTAAGATGCTGTTAGTTCTTCACATCTTAAAATAAAAAACACACTTAGATCTTGAAAAGACATATGGAAAATGGGGGTTGAGTGAGCAGGGGAAGATTATCCACTTACCAGGTTGTCTAGGAGTATCAGAGGAGCTGAGCCTTGGAATGCCCCAGAAGGAATAAGAGGAATCTTTTTGTTAACTTGCGGCCATCTGGGATCATTTTTACTTCTGAGATCCAAGACCCAGCAGGGCCTGCTCAGGCCTTGCAGAAAATCTCTTGCTATCTATTTCTGTCATCAGTGGAGCAAAGAAAAGGTGCTCACCAGTGTCAGGGGTTGCCCAAGGAATGACTGTGTGCACATCAACGACACAACTGTTCCAAACACATCCTTTAATCACTCAGGTGTGGCCTTTCACCCAGGAGAAACAGAGTGGACAGGTGTCTGGGTAGGACAAGGCGCAGAACSGTGGCAGAGTATGAGACACCCGGGGAGAGTTCTGGAATGAATATCTAGGCCTGCCCCCGTCCCAACGGGCTCCTTTTTCTTATGTGAGAACTAAGGGATTCTGGGGGATCCCCTGGAAGGCTCCTCTGCACACTTTGTGCCTCCTCTGGATCATGCCTCACTCGGATCCCTCTTCTCTCACACATCTGCCCTTCTCTCCACAGCTCCTCCTTCCCTTGGAGGAATGTAGCTCTCCTGCTGCTTCTCCCTCTCTCTTTGGAGCAGACTTCTGCATSGCAGTCCAACAAGATCAAAGGTGGGTTCAGAACAGCTGCCGCCTTTTCCTGCGAGAGGCATGCTTGGAGGCTGAGGTCGGGTGCAAAGCTAGTGTCAGCTGAGGTCACCCTACTGTGGATTCTGAGCCACCACTCTAAGCTCTCCAAATCCTCCCCTGCCTGTTCTCCCCAAGTTATTTCCCTAACTTTTCCCAAAATATGTCTTCCAGGGTTTTTTTTTTAAATTTATGAGTCACTGTGCCTGAGCCTGAGAGGAGAGGATCAGTGAGGACACGGCTGCAGTCTTGGGGAAGAGAGAGTGGAGGCAGGGGCTGAGTCAAGGGAGTGCGGTAAAGAAGGAGAAAAGGTCGATTTTAAGGAGATTGGAGACAAAATTGGCCAAAAGCCATGATGGACAGGATGCTGGGGTGATGGGGGAGGAAAGAATGTCTAGATTCTAACAACAACTGTTGATGTCAAATACCAAGATGGGGAACAGGGGCAGGGAGGTGCTGCTTAGGCATGGGGAGACAGTAGTTCTTGAACATGTTAGAACAGAGTTACCCGTGAGTCTGCCTGAATAATTTTTCCCAGGCGGTTGAATAAAAGGAACAGGATGGATCTGGGAATCAGCCAGGATTGTGGGAATAGATGTGATCACCCAGGAATGTCATGAGAGCAGGACTCTGGGGAACATCTCTGGCAAATGCAGAACTCCAGGGGGGTGTACCAGGGGGTATGCACCCAGGGTGAGTTTTGGGGACCACCCTGAGCAGGAGCTATGCACACACAGTTAAGTCCTGAATAAAGAGGGACTGGACTGGCATTGCACCCTGCAGGGCAAGGGGACTTGCCTCGCTCAGATAGCAAGGTGTAGCTCTGGGATTGGGCATTACCCGATTGGAGGGGGCTGCCCCTTGTTCCTTGGTAAACCTACACATTTGGCCCTTTTTTAGGATGAATGTTCTTTCAAACAGCCTCCCCAATGAAACCCAGGTTCAAGGCCTGCCTTGCCTCCTTTGTGGGAGCTGGGTCAGAGGGGCCCGCGTCCCAGAACCCAAAGAAAAAGGTATTTCTCTATCTTTGTGTGATTATTTCGTGCCAGCCCAGTTCTCCTGGAGTGACCCTGACTGATTTAGTCGTGTGTTGGGGCAGTAAGTGACTAAGAAGAGCTGGCCAGGGAGGGAGAGGGTTCTATTCTTCTSCTGGAAGCCGGAGAATCAACTCTARTGAGATGACTAGCTTTACCTCCTAATCCCAAGGTTTCCCTTCCTACTTCTCTTTACCCTTTTGAGGTCTCCATATTTAATTTGCCAAACTCTTTCTGTGCCCAAATCTTGAGCAATGGTCCCCAAGTGGTAGCTTTTCCCATGGTGCCTACCAACCTGCYTTAGGATTACCCAGGGGGCTTTCTAAAAATTGGGGTCAGCGGCTGTTCCACTCCTCGGTTTATAGCCAAAGGACTTAAAAACAGCATACTACAGGGACGCAGCCACATCAATGTATATATAGCAGTTCAATTCACAATAGCTAAACTGTGAACCAACCTAGGTGTCCCTCAATAGATGAATGGATAAAGAAAATGTGGTATGTATACTCAATGGAATATTACTCAGCTTTAAAGAAGAGTGAAATTATGGCATTTGCCAGTAAATGCTTGGAGTTGGAGAAAACATGCTAAGTGAAATAAGCCAATCCCATAAAACCAAAGGCCGATAAATGTTTTCTCCAATATATGGGTGCTAATTCACAATAAGGCGGGGGGCACTGGGGAAGAATAGTGTTACCTTAGATTAGGTAGAGGGAAGTGATTGGAAGGGGAAGAGAGGGAATGTGGGGATAGGAAAGACAGTAGAATAAAGCAGACATTGTTGCTGTATGTACATATGTGACTGCATGATCAATGTGATTCTGCAACATGGACACTCAGAAAAATGAGAAATTATATCCCATCTTTGTATGATATATCAAACGGCATAAATGCATCCTACTGTCACGTATAACTAATTAAAACAAATTTTAAAAACTTTTAARAAATAGCTAAATTGTGGAATCAACCTAGATGCCCTTCAGTCAACGAATGAATGGATAAAGAAACTGTGGTACATATATACAATGGAATATTACTCAGCATTAAAAGAGAATAAAATCATGACATTTGCAGGTAAATGGATGGAGTTAGAGAATATTGTGCTAAGTGAAGTAAGCCAATCCCAAAAAAACAAATGCCAAATATTTTCTTTGATATGAGGATGCTGATCCATAATGGGGATGGGGGTGTCATGGGAGGAATAGAGGAACTTTAGATAGGGCAAAGGGGATGAAGGGGAAGGGAGGGCACAGAGGGGTAGGAAAGACAGTGGAATGAGATGGACATCATTACCCAAGCACAAGTGTGAAGATACGAATGGTGTGACTCTACTTTGTGTACAGCTAGAGACATGAAAAATCATGCTCTATGTGTGTAATATGAATTGAATGCATTCTGCTGTCATATATGATAAATTAGATGAAATAATTCTTTTTTTAAAAGGGGGAAAAATTAGGGTCAGTAGGCCTTACTTTCTAGAGATTCTGATTTCAGTCCAGAGTCCTTATTTACTTAAAGATACACAGAGAGTTTTGATGTCCACTCCAGATCAGGAACCATGTACTCTTCTTAGCTTTGAGCCATCCTTGGAGGGTGCATTTAGAGAGATGTGATGGGTAAGACTAGCTGAAGAAGGCTAAAAGTCTCAGTGGCCCATTCTTGGGGAAGATGTGGGGCTTCTGAGGYGAGTTCTGGGTTGAGAATCCTGGGCCTGTCACTGAGTCACTGTAGCATCCTTTTTGACCTCATTTTTTTTAAGCCTATGAAATTAGGAGGGTGGTATTAAAGATAAATATGGTCCTTTGAATTCTAAACTTCTATAATTACAAGACCCAGTCCTATCTAAAAAGATCATATGTCTCTGATGAGGTTCCACTGGAGACGTGCTCCATCTCTAGCCTGTGTYAGTGCCAGTTGCTGCAGAGCCCACTGGAGGTCATCAGTCTGGCCTGGTGCGCCTGGGTTTTCTGCTCTGATTCTCGTCAGGCTGAGACCAGAGTGTCAGACAGGGCTGCGGTTCTCAGCGGGACTCGGGGTCCTCTCCCTAAGTGCACTGGTTGTTAGCAGAGCCCTTCTCTTGCCGTTTTAGGATGGAAGCTCCGATTTGCTGCTGGTTGTCGACTTCTAAAGGCCACCTTCATTTATCGGCACTTGACCTCCATTATGTTCACAGCCAGCGACAGTAGGACGGCTCCTCCTCACCGTCTCAATCTCTGTGACCTCTTCACTCCCAACCTTCTTCTTTTAAAGGACCCAACTGACTGGGTCTGACCCACTTGGATCACCTCTGTCTCTTAAGGTCAACTAACTTTGAACTTCACCTACACACGCAGGATCCTTTCACGGCAGTGCCTGCACTCSTGTTTGATTCAGAGGACTGGAATCTTGGGGGTGCAACGTTGGAAACCTGTCTATTGCCAGCACTTAAATCAGCATCCATACTTACCCCTAAAAACGGAGTAAGCAGCCACGTATCTGCAGAACTCTTGGCAAGCTCTGAGATCCGTGTATTACGAACATCATCCCATTTAATTCTAACTGACCTGTACAGTAAGGATGGCCATTCTCATTTTAGAGATAGGACATGGATGACTCAGACGAAGGAAGAGACTGTCCCGAGATTATTTAGCTAGTTAGTGTTGCAATCGGTCTGCCAATGATGCTCCTCCCACTCCACCATTTCTTCCTGTCTTAGAGGCAAGTCAGAATTCACGCCGTTGAACTCAGATTGGTCTTGAGTTCACAGAAGTCAAGGGACCAAAGTCAGGACTCCTGACCCCTATTTCCATGATGTTTCCATGATTCTTTACTAATTTTTTCGATTGCCTCAGATGTTGGAGACAGAGGAGTTAAGCCTTAAAATATTAGGGTTCAAGAAGATTGGGAGCTCCTCAATTTAGAGCAAGGGCCTTTGTCCTTATGAACCACCTGCCTTTGGGATCTAAGACGTATTTCCTTCAGTTCTACCTGGGCACCAATTCCGGATTCACCTCCTTCTAAATGGGCCAAAAGTGGTGAGAGAGACAGCCATGGATCCCAAATGTAAGCAGAATGAGAATTGAAGGTAYAGGATAGGACTGGGACATTTTCATCATTTACCGTTGCCCTGGTAGGAGAAGAGCTGAAACTCCCGGGATGTGAATTCGGACAATTCTTTCTTGCAGTGAAACCTGGAGAGTGCCCCAGAGAGCGGCTCTTCTGTGACGTCATGAGGCCGGATTTATGCAAATCGGATTTCAACTGCCCAGATTACATGAAGTGCTGCACTTTCGCCTGTGGGAAGAAGTGCATGGATCCATATGAAGGTAGTGGCATTCAGGCTGGGGGCGGAGGTGACTTTTGAGGGTCCCCACTTCTTACTCCATTCAGAAATGGCTGAACAATTCCTTTTGATAGCAGGACAAAGAGTCCCAAGTTTGCATTTTTCTCACTATCCAATTTAACTCTCACCCTTAAGTGTAAGTCATGAGTCCAGGCATGGTGGCCATCAACTAGACAATACTGATGCTTGCCTTCCTGAGTCCCACATTCAATCTTTCATGAACAATTAATACTCTGGTGTGCTCACTGTGTGCTGAGAAACTGTGGTTGGCCCTGTGACAAAATCAAATCTCAGTTAACTTAGGTGCTGGGTTCCTTTCAGACTCAGTCTTTTCAAGGAGGTTTCCTGGGAACTCATGAGTATTCCTATGCACATCTTATAAGAGTGTGTACATTTGACAGAGATTCATTTGTTCGTTCATTCATTTATCCAACTGGTATTTATGGTCGGTGCCCTTTGGCCAAGACTACCAGGAACATACCTGGAGCTGAACAAGTTGGGTTCATTACTGATTACAGGGAGGGAGAATGTCCACTGTGGACAACCATGTGACATCTCAGTAAGCAACTGCTAGAATGTATTACAGGATTTGGTCTTTGGATGATTTGGAGGAGGGCTTTAGAATCTGTACTGTCAGGAAGTGGGGGCAAAGCTACGGCTTGGCTCCTCGAGGAATCTCATCCACAGAGGGAGCAGGCAGAGTGAGGGAGCTGAAGTCACTCACGTTGGGTGGAACAGGGAAGTGTTTGGTATTTTATGAATTTCACAGATATCTTGCTTTCTGTCTCACGTTATCATGGTCTTAGAGCGACTTCATTTGATGCAGATGTCCCATGAGATGTTTTATGTCAACAGAGGAACACAACAGCTTAGCTGATGGGTTTTCAGACATCGGGGACTATTTTTTTCCTTCCTATGTACCAGGTGCTTTGTTAGGCACTTTGGATACAGTTCCTGAACAGGTCCTGGCCTCTCAAAGCTCAAAGCAGTGGAGAAGATCAACTCCAAAGTATCTTCAGATGCCCTTCAAAATCACCTTTGCGAGAAAGAAGTGATGTTAAGAGAATTCAGTGGACAATAGTAGTCATGGAGCTACTTGTTTTGAGTGTGGCTTTTTCTGACTTGGATGATAACACCATCAACTAGGACAGTCGGGAGGATCCTATCCCTTCTTTTTACCTCTACCTTTTATGCTCTTCCCTTTTTACACCCTGACCTCAGAACCCTGCATGCTACCCTTTAAAGAAGGAGACTGCAAGATGAGACTGCAGCGTTGGTATTATGACTTTAAAAAACAGCAGTGTAGAACCTTTATCTATCATGGCTGCCAAGGGAACGCCAACAGCTTCCTCAGGCTGGATGACTGCAAGAAGGCCTGCATGTTAATTGGTGAGACCCACATCCCTGCCAGGGGAGGGCTTGGTTCACCCAGAAACAGAATACCAGCATGGTTAGAGCTCAGAGTTGGAGGTGGAACTACCTGGGTGCAAGCCATAGCTCCRTCACTTACTGGCTGGGAGGTCTTGGGCCAATTGCCTGCCTTGATGAATCGATTTTCTTGTGTACAAAATGGGGGTGGTAATAGTATTTATCGAATGGAGTTGTACCTCAAAACGACATAGTACCCATAAAGTGCTCACAAATTTTGGCTCATGGGATCCAGGCCTACTTTCTTGGAGAAAGATATTTTTTYATCACGTCAACCTATTGAGCCTCACCTGGAGGACTCACCCAAGAAGGAGGCGTAGACAGGCCAGCCCGGAGTCCCAAGGAGTCAGTGTAGACACTGAAGGTAGAGAATAGGGTGGGGTGAAGGGGAGAGCTGTGGGTTCCTTCTCTAGTGGAGTGATCATCATTAGCAATGTCGGGGGACAGAGTCCTACTGAGTTCATGACCTGGACTAAAACCCTGCTTTTCCCACTTAGTGCAGGTGTTTGGGCCTGTGGGAGCTTCCGTTTTCTCTTCTATAATATTGTTACAGTAGCCAACACCTCACCAAATTTTTGGCAGGATGACATGTGTTCAAAGACACCAAACCTTGACATGGCACCTTGTCCAGTGGCCTGGGCCCACTAAATGGTACCAATTGAGAGAGATGGTGACCATTCATCAGGATGTGGCACTGGGTGATTTACAAGGCAGCCCCAGAATTTCAACCTCACACCATCACAGAGAGGTAGCTAGCTAAGAACCCATCGTCAGTCAGGAGCAGAGTGATTTCAATCCCCCACACCCCACGTGCCTGAATGGCCAATGCCATCTTGGGATCTGTCTGGATGGAATTAGAATCGAACATTCCCTGAGTGGGAGGATCTGGGGAATCAGGGTCTATGGACAAGGGCTGGGTCTTTTCTCCCCAGAGCAGCAAGAAGAGGCCATGGAAATGGGTTTGGGCTGGTCTATGGGGAACTTAGGTCCGTGCTCAGAGGTAACTTGTACCTCTAAGAGTTGAACGCACTATTGTCAGTCTGACCAGAGACAGAAGGGGAAAAAAAATCTACCCTCATAGACTTGGCCACCAGATGAGAACAGGAGACCCACATCAAATCCTCAAGAAYTGATTTAAATACCATCTAGGTCCTATCTCCAGCCCAGATCCGAGAGCTGCTGCCCCGCTAACAAGGGGTCACCTTCTCAGTCGGGTGCTGCAACAGCCTGCCCCGGGGTCTCCCCACTCGATAGTCCCCTTCTTTTTATAATCACTGTCAGCACAGCGGCCGCGACAGTCCTTTCAAAACCTGAGCCATCATGACATTTCACTCAAAATAAAACCAGACCCCTTCCAAGGGCTTRACTTGATCTGAGTGAACCGGACATCATCAGCCCTATTTTATACCGAAGGATGCTGTCACTTATTTAGTGACCGGACTGAGACTTCATGTTGGGGCTTCAGATGCTGAGCTCAGCATTCTTTCTACCACATTCCAGAAGGCAGGGAGAGAGCGGACAGGGTAAAGTGAACCAAGTTGCAGGGATTCTAGTTTTGAAGAGAAAGAAAATCTGTTTGAAGGGTGGTGGGATGGKGGGGTCTGCAGGTACTCACGTCTGCTCTTGTTTTAGTCAAGAAAGGACAGTGCCCACTCTTCCCTTACACCTCTCGAATGGAGTGTCCAAAGCCATGTAAGAATGACATGGACTGCCTGATGACAGAAAAATGCTGTGACTCCAGGTGTGGTTTTGTTTGTGCCAACCTCTGGCAAGGTAAGGACCAGAGAGGGTAGGACTTTGGGAAGATATACCTCCCAAAGTCCCCTGGGCATGGATCAAGGATGCCATGATATCCCATGAAATGGGAGTCTCCTGAGCCTCAGCTGCCCCTTGGATTGACCTTGGAGGTATCTGAGGAGATTTCACCTTTCAGTGCCCAACCAGTGCTCTCATGTTGACCTCCTGGCCTCTGGACACTATTGTGCTATTCTTTGAAGTCATTACCACACTTGGTAATCACTCTCCATTCTTCCCCAAGGAAATTTATTTGTTAGGATCTCATTCTTCCATGACTTGCAAAGTGACAATGTCCGTGGATTCACATACATACAGATTCTTAACCACTAAGTCTATTCCTGATAATTCACATTCTATAAGAGGATCCAGGGAAAGACTGTTAGCAAATGCTTTGGGGGTAGAAGCCAACTCTCCCACTCCTAAGGCTGGAGGTACCAATTTCCCCACGTAAACCCAGGGATTGGTAGTGCCTGGAGATATCCGTGGTGAGGTTGCAAGAGGCAAAGCTTTTTCAACTGACTTCAACTTTTTCAGAGGCTGTCTGTGCGACTTGGCCAACTCACTTCCCCCTATATGATCCTCAATTCCTATAATTTATAAGACAAGGATGTTCTGGGTCCACCCAAACCCATTAATTCCATAGGGAATACAGGAATCTTATCAGGTTGGACAAGTCTGGGATGATGCTCTTCAAGTTACTAGCCATAGACAGTGCCTCCCCCACTCAGTGGTGGGAAGGGAAGAGGCTTGATTAGAACAAAATCCTTTATGGGTTTCCTAAGATTCCCCAAATGTGTGTCTGATTATGATGGAGTGTTTCAAGGTCAAGTGTCTTGTTTTTACTCCACAAAGTCAAACCAGGTTTTTGCCCACGTATGCCTCAGATGTGTAAAAAGATTAGTAAACCAATGTGCCTTCAGGATAGCGATTGTCCAGAGGGGGAGAAGTGCTGTTCACGCTGTGGACTGATGTGCTTGGCACCCCTGAAATGAACAGTAAGTGGAAAATATTCTCATGGGAAGAGTAATTATGAATAAGCGTAATGAAGAGCTCTTTTGTGGGTCTTGGGCTAACTACCTTACCAGACTGTTATTAAGGGTAACAGTATTTATACGGTTATTCTATGTATCCTATCATGTAGGGTTTTTATATATAATAAATTTATATACAATCATATCATCGTAAAATAATGATAAACTTGGCTCTTCTTTTCTCCAACTTCATGGCTTTGTTATCTTGTCTTCTATTGAGTAGAACTTCTAAAATAATCTTGAAAATGAAGGCAGTGAGGGCCTGAGATACAGCTCCATGGCAGAGCATGTAGTTAGCATGTCCAAGGTCCTGCCATCAATCCCACCACCAAAAAAATAAAAATAAAAGCAATAGTGTCTAGTTCCTTATTTTAAAGTCAGTGGCTACTGGTGGTGGTGGTGGTGGTGGTGGTGGTGGTGGTGTGTGTGTGTGTGTGTATGTGTGTGTGTGTATGTGAAAGATAAATAGTTTTTTATGGCACTTATTTCCTTTTTTAAGGTTTTTTCTTCTCCATTTTCAGCTGCTACTAGAAACGACTGCTGAATTTTATCAAATACCTTTCAAGCATCTGCTCATATAATGACTGTTCTCTTCTAATTTGTTGGCATAACAACTTATTAAATTGTCATATGTTGAACCATCTTGCATTCTTAGAATGACTTTAATCATATTGCTAGTATATTTGCATTCATTTACTGTGGCTTTTTTGGCAAAGAGTTTGTTTAAAATTTTCACTTCTAGAGTCAAATTAAAGTAAATGTTCGTTTGTTTGTTGCTGTTCTGGTCACGGTACTTTCAAAAAACTTGCATGGGCAAAATTCAACTCGAAGTGGATCGAAGATCTAGGAATTAGGCTAGAAACTTCGCAACTAGAAGAAAATGTAGAATCCAGACACCAACATATAGGTGTAGGAATCAACTTCTCTTAATAAGACTCCTAAAGCTCAATAAATAAAACCAAGAATCAATAAGTGGGATGGCATCGAATGAAAAAGCTTCTGCACAGCACAGGAAACAATTCAGAATAAGAATAAAAATCCTACAGAATGGGAGGAAATCTTTGACAGCTAGGCTTTGRGCAGAAGATTAACAGCTAGAATACATAAAGAACATAAAAAACTCAACACCAAAAAACAAATAGCCCAATCAATGCATGGGCAAATGTACTACACAGACATTTCTTAAAAGAAGAAACACAGATTGCCAAATAATATATCAAGTGAGCAGAAAAAAATGCAAATCCAAACTACACGGAGGTTTCTTCTCATCCTAATTAGAATGGTAACAAATACAAATACCGGTGAGGATGCAAGGTATACTTAGACATTTTTGGTAGGACTGCAAATTAGTACAATCACTGTGGATATCAGTGTGGAGATTCCTCAAAAGACTAGAAATAGAGGGGCTGGGGATGTGGCTCAAGCGGCAGCGCGCTCGCCTGGCATGCGTGCGACCCGGGTTCGATCCTCAGCACCACATACCAACAAAGATGTTGTGTCCGCCGAAAACTAAAAAGTAAATATTAAAATTCTCTCTCTCTCTCTCAAAAAAAAAAAAAAAAAAAGACTAGAAGTAGAAACACCACATGACTCAGCAATCCCACTCCTTAGTATTTATCCAAAAGAACTAACATCAGAATCCTATATAGCCATTCCTGCACACCAAAGTTTACAGCAGCAAAATTCACAAGAGCCAAGTTATGGAACGTCAACAGATGAATAGATTAGAAAATGTGGTATGGATACACAATGGAGTTTCATAGAGCCACAAAGAATAAGATGGTGTCATTTGCTGGCAAATGGATGGAACTGGGGGACATCTTGATAAGTGAAAAAAGCCAGACTCAAAAAGTCAAGGGTTGAACATTTTCTCTAACATGCAGAAGCTAGAGAGAAGAAAAGAATTAAAAATAAAAAAGGATCTCACAAAAACAGTAGAATAAAGGAAGGGAAGGGAGCAAGGAGAACGGGGAGGAAATAGGGCATCAGGAGGACCAAACTACGTATGTGCACGTACAGATACATCACGATGACCCCACTGTTCTGCAGAGTTATTAGGCACCAGTTTTTAAAAATAGAAGGGAAATCAGTCGAGTTAGAGGAAGGGGATGGGGAGGTGGGGAAAGGGGAGGTACTAGAAAATGAAATTCTGTTATGTGCATGTATGAACGTCACAATGAACACCACCATTACACATAATTATAATGCACCAACAAAAAGTTTTACAACTTGACCTATGATGTTTATTAAAGATCATAGTTGCTGAAAAACAAAATAAGAATAGAAACTTGGTTAGAAAACTTACATACTTTTTCTGAAATCTGAAATTTTTTGATAATACATAAGTTCTCCGTTCTTTGAAGACTGAAGCCAGTACTCCACTCCCAGCATCAAGACCATGTTTCTGCCACAGTGCTCTATTTTAGCAATTTTTAAATACTTCATCTTACAATTTGTGCAGGTTCTCTACCTCCTCATCTGTGAATTTCAGTCTCATATTTTCCTACATAATTATTTTCATATCATCAGATTTGGTTAATGTTTCTGCCCATAATCACATTTCCACCCACCCACTTACCTGCCAACCATCAGTCCTTTTATTCACCTGCCCATCCTCTCACAGTGCATCCAGGTACCCCTCCCACTTACCATCCCCCTGTTGACATTCCTTTCAACGTATTCCTTTGCCCACCATCTCTTCACCCCATATCCATCCTCTTACCCTTCCTTCTCATCTGACTTTTACCAACCTAGTTGTCTATTTTATGTCCAACCTTTAATCCATCTGCTTATTATTTACCGCTCTCTTCTTCTTTCTCGTGTGAGCACACACACACACACACACACACACACACACTCCTTCATGTACATCAACATACTTATCCCACTACCTGATCTTCCCTCTGTCTGTCTATCCCACCATCCAATCAAACAACTTCCATCAACAGACCTACCCGATCACTAACCTTATATCCAGTCCAACCCACTTCACCCATTCTTCCATCCACCCACAATCCTTGCATTCACACACCCAGATAGCCATGCTTTCCTCACCTCTTCCTACTCCTCTAACCAACCTCGTGATGTGTTGTCCCCTGAGGGACACACATCAACACACACATCCATCCTTCCTACACTGATCCACCCACCAACCCACTCACTGTCCACACACCCACCAATCTCAACGTCTCCTCCTCTATTCACCATAGGCTGTCTCCATCGGTGGACACACGTCTGCCTACCTTTCTGCACACTGCCAGTCCCCCGCCTACCTCGCCCATCCTGCAGAATGCACTGAGGATTTATTCTGGGCCTCTTCGTGTTCTACGCACCAGGTTCTAGACACAGGCCCATTTAATGGACCTCAGAGCTTCTTAAACATGCAACTTGGCAATTCAACTAGAGGCACGTGGAACAACGCTGAAAGACCCTGACAGGAAATCAGCCCAGGAGACAGGTCTTGGTCCACTGAAAAGCAGGAGAAGCCAGGTGGAGGCCAGTGGGCTTTGGCTCTCCCTGGAGCTCACATTCTGAGTCCAGGATCTGGGCCTGAAGTCAGAAATCATGCAGAAGTCAGACTGGGGCAGAGTTAGGGCCATGACCCTCAATGAGGGTGGATGAAGGAAGAGCAAGGACCCAGGTGGGTCCCTACCCAGCTTTCTCCAAGAAAGTAGACGTTAGCAGGGGCCCAAAGCATGATTCATTCCAAAAACTCAAAGACACCCATTGCATGTTCCCTGCTTAAAAAGTGAGACCCATGGGTTGGCCGGGGAATTAGATGAGACAGAATGTGGCGGAACAAACCGAAAGAGTTTTAATTTATTTTCAAGAAAATGAAGAGAAGAAAGAAGCCTTAACTGGGGTCCCTGGGAGCCACTGGGAGATCTGTTGACGCTGATTCTTCAGCTTCTGTCTCTACTAACGATTTCCTTCATTCCCTGGGACTCAGCATTCTTTACCTCCAAGTCCACAGTCAAATGTCATACCCTCAGCTTCATCAGAACCTCCCTAATGGCCTCTGGCAAGGACGCTCACTCTCAGCCCCCTCTATCCTCATCTCTGACACCTGCTGGATGACATTCAGCGGCATCCTCACTTCTCCGGCCCTTACGGTTCCAAACTGTAAAACAAAGCAGTGGCACCAGGTGGTCCCTCGGAGCCCTGCCACCTAGGTCTTCCCTGTGTCCCTCTCCCCTGGGCTGAGCTTGATGGAAGCAGAAGGAGGGCAGCCCTGCCTAGGACATCTGATGGCTCACCAGAAATTGCATTCCCTTGGGGCTGGGGATGTGGCTCARGCGGTAGMGCGCTCGCCTGGCATGCGTGCGGCCTGGATTCGATCCTCAGCACCACATACAAAGATGTTGTGTCCGCCGAGAACTAAAAAAATAAATATTAAAAAATTTAAAAAAAGAAATTGCATTCCCTAGCCTCCTTGAGCGAGCCTGCAGAGTTGGTGGGATGGATTCCCACGGGAGCTCTGCTGTGATCTCCTGGATTTTGTGACCATAATAGTTACTCACTGATGATGGGGCTGGCTTTTTCTGACTTTTCTCTGTCACAGAAGAGAGTTTTGAGAACGATGGTTGGCACAATAAGGCAACTCCTAGTCGGGAAGGAAAATGGGAACCTACAGGTAACTCAGTCTCTGAAGAGAGCCTCTCCCGGCCAGCAGCCTGGCTAAATGGCTGTGGGTGTGTGGCTCCAGGTCTCCAGCAGCCTCGACCAGTCGCTCAGTGAGCAGCCAGCAACTCTGAACCAGAGTCTCTCAGGAAGTTCTGTTCCTTTTGTAGCTTCTCCTCCAACGAAGAGTTTGCATCCGATGTGACAGAGACTCCCAACAAGCCCCTGCTCTCCAAGCAACGCGCTGTGACCAGCACCATCTGCGGACTGTCATCAGCCTGAGCCCTGCCAGCACCCGCTGTCGTCAAACATGAAAGACCCAAAGACAAGAGGAGGGGGAGGGGGCTGGGGATGTGGCTCAAGCGGTAGCGTGCTCGCCTGGCATGCGTGCGGCCCGGGTTCGATCCTCAGCACCACATACAAACAAAGATGTTGTGTCCGCCGAGAACTAAAAAATAAATATTAAAAATTAAAAAAAAAAAAAAAAAAAAAAGAGGAGGGGGAGGATGGCGGGAAGACACCGCGGGAGGGAGAACCGGACACCCAGGCCCTGGGGGGCCTGCAGAAAAGAAGAGAAAAAGCCAGGAACAGAGAGGCACAAAGGGACAGATAGCAAGAGATGACATTGTCAGCGGAGCGGAAGGGGCCGGTGGCCAGTGTGTGTGTGGAACAGAAGGAGGCCATGCGCACTCCCAGAGTTTCCCAGATAAGGCCTGGGAAGTGGCATTCACTCCCAAGGTCGCCTGGAAAGTGTGAGCCAAGCTCTGCCCCCTCGCCCCGCTGGAGAGAGGGCCCAGCCCAGCGCAGCCAGGGCTTAGGGATCACAAGAGACCCTTCCCCCAGCTCTGGCTCTCCATGCCAGTCAGTCCCATTTGATGGCCTTGGGAACTTGGTGTTCCTGACAAGAAAGGGGGTGGCTGGCTCTTCTCCAGCTCTCGTCTCCAGGGTAGAGGCCCTGAAGGGACAGGCTGGCGAAACAGCCAGCATTTCCATGTTCTGGAACCATCTCTCCTCAGAATGGAGCCTGGTGGACTTCTGAGAGTCCTGGTGCTCTTCATCCTCTTCGTGAATGTCCAGGGACCTGGCCTAAGTGACCGGTTCTTTCCCAGTAAGTATTGGGCCTCTGTCTTGCCCTGGGCAGAGGGGAGTTTGCTGGGAGGGGGGACCAGGAACAGTCCCTCACATCTGGGTTGCTTCCTCCATCTTGGCCGTGGCCCTGGGCTGGGAGCGGAGGGAGAGAGATCTGTTCTGTTAGGGCAGATCCCAGACCTGGCAGTTTGGGGCAGCAGGGGGGCCTTAATGGATCTGGCAATTATGTGAGGGGCTATAGAAATCTGGGCAGACTAAGGGTCCTTCTCCCATCCCACAAGAAAATTAGATCCTTTTCTCAGGATAGTGCCTCCATCTTCTCCCCTTTTTTTCCAATGTAGTCCTATGAAGTGTCTTTGCATCCCCAGAGGGTTTTGACTTTGGAGTAAGAAGAATATCTGGGAGCCCCTTTCAATGTAAGACACTAATACTCCAGGAATATATAAGTAAAAATAATAATTGTTAGCATTTTCTGAACAATCAGAAAATAGAGATTTCTAAGTAGAGACTTAAAAAAAAAAAAAGCATTCTGGAGACATACAGAGGGGTTAAATCCTGACAGCCATATAACCTTTATATAGATTCCATGTGCTTCAGTTTCCTGATCTGTAAAATGGGACTAATCATGGAACTGACCTCATAGAGCTGCTATGGAGGCTAAATGAGGTGATGCGTTTTAAATATTTAAATGAGTGGGTGGCTTACGGCAAATACTTACCATAACTGTGCCTCCGTTACTCAGATCATTACTCAGATCGGAGCTTTACAGTCTTCTCCCTTCTTCCTCACGACTCCCTCAGGCCAAAACCACATCACAAAGGAAGAGAGTAGCTTCAGGGAGGGAAAGTGACAGAACAGTGTTAGAATTCAAAGCCCAAACTGACTCCAGGGGGCTACCAATCACTGTATAATGTCGCCCCCCAGAGGAACTCGCACCCAGGCTCACAGCAAGGCACAAAAGACCAGACCAGCTTAAACCTGTGCCCGTCGGTGGCAATTCCCCCCCCACCCCCCCACCCCYGGGCATTTGCAATGTCTGARGACACTGGGTCGTCACCACAGGGAGGGGTGCCACTCGCATCTAATAAATTGAAGCCAGGGATACTGCTGAATGTCACCTGAGCAGGACGACCCCACTCCCAACAAAGAATCCCCCAGCCCAAATGCCACCAGTGGCTGAGAAATTGTGCCTTAGAGGGACTGGGGCAGGAAGTGGGACGAAGGAGCAGGCTGGGAAGGTAGAGATGAGGGACGTGTCAGTGGGGCTGGGAGATACCCAGGGGACCCTGAGGAAGAGGCTCCTAGTGACAGAATGACAGCAAACCTTCCTGTCTGCCCAGAACGGGGTTGGAAGAGGGTGGGCAGTGGCCCTCCAAGGCTCACACTTGTAAATCTGCTCCTCCCCCAGAAAAATGCCCCAGAATCAGAGAGCAGTGTGAATTCAGAGAGAGGGACCTGTGTACCAAGGACAGGCAGTGCCCGCACAACCAGAAGTGCTGCGTCTTCAACTGCGGGAAGAAGTGCATTGACCTCCAACAAGGTACCTTCAGAGCTGGGAACACTCCACCCACGCCCTGCCCCCTGCCCCCTGGGCTGGGTTGTCCCTGGTTCATGAGGGCTGTTCTCCGGGCAGGACTGCTGGATGTGGGAGGACTGGGATTTAGATTTATTACTGCTCCTAACATGTTGTATGACATGAATAATGTCCTGATCCTGTCAGGTAATGTCTGGGCCTCAGTTTCCCCAGATAGGTGATGGGTACAGCAGTGAGACTCGGTCAGCCGGCTTCTTGGCCACTTTTCACCCTTATGATTTTCTGAGTCCTCAGATGGTCCTTGTTGTCCTAATATATACTGACGCTGTTTGTTGTTGCAAGTGACAAGAATTTTCTWTCTCCCCCTTCCCCCACCTCCAGTRTTGAGCATTGAAGCTAGGGGCACTCCACCACTGAAATACRTTCCCAGCTCCCCCATTCCTTTTCTGAGACAGGGTCTTGCTAAATTGCATAGGTTGACCTCAAACTTGCAATCCTCCCACCTCAGCCTCCTCAGTTGCTGGGATTACAGGAGTGTGTCACCATCCCTGGCTGAATTAAGCAATTTTCTTCCCTGTTTTCGCTTCTGAACGACTACCTCTTTAAATCCAACTTTGTACCAGGAAACCTCCCCTGACTTCTCCAGACCAGAGGGGGTTTCCTTTCCATCTCCCCGGGCTCCAGAAAAGACTATGAAGGGTTCTTTAGTCATTCATTTAGCTAATATTTACTGAGTGCCTCTAAGAGGTATTCTATTTTAGTATCCCTCTAATGAAATGCCTCAGACAGGCTGACTTTATAAATAAAAGAGGTCTGTTTAGCTCACTGTCTTGGAGGCTGAGTCCAAACATCATGGCACAGGCTCTAACAAGAACCACATGGCAGGTGGGGGGCACCTAAGAGAGAGAGAGAGAGAGAGAGAGAGAGAGAGAGAGAGAGAGAGATCACATTACCAACAGAGGCCCAAATAGAGACTGAGCTCCCACAGTCCCTTCAAGGTCACATCCTCAATTGACCCAAGGACGTACCACTAGGTCTCACCTCTTAAGGGTGTCACCACCTCCTGATACCACTATCTAGGGCACCAGGACACCAACAAATGGACCCCGGGGGCACACACTTAAACCATGTTCAAASCACAGCACCCATAATAGGATCTGACCTGCTCATGGTGGTCAGGGAGGATAGAGGGGCTTCTCTGGACAGCAGACCTGGAGTTGAGATCCAAATGAAGGGTAATGATTTAGACAAAAAGAGGGTGGGAGGGTTTTCCAGGCACAGGGAATGGCACACACAAAGACTCARAAAAGCAGGAAATGAACAAGATCAAGGCTCACAGAGAAAAGATCCTAGGTGTGAAAAGACGCAGCAATTCAGGTCTGGGGGCCAGATTATAGTCTCACCCTGATCCTAAGAGCCATGGAAACGCCCTGAGTAAGGACGGTGACATCCCAGGTTCGTGGGGTGCCTGCAGAGTGCGATAGGGAAAGCGGAGGAGTGGGGCGTGCTAAAGGGACTCGGAGAGAGAACAGGGTGACTTGAACKAGGAGAAGCTGGGTGTAGAGATGTGCTGGAAAGACACTGGGAGGCACATGGGCCAGACGCACGCATGACGCGCTGCCCAGACWCCTGCAGGTGAGAGCTTCGGAGTTACTCTCTGAGCCCCAGGTTGGACCAGATTTTTTATCTGGAGCAAATCAACAAATTTCCCTTTTTTCTGCCTCAATTTCTTCAGATATCAAAGATTACTTTGAGGATCAAATAAATTGATGCTCCCGAAGTGCTTAGAGCAATGATTGACATCCTGAACATAGGCACACGCACAGGAAGAAGGCCACAGGAACGAGGAGGCACATGGCAGCCACCCAACACCTGCTGACTTAACTCACTTGTCTTTCTTGACTGGGAACCCCTACGCCGTAGGGACTGTGCCTTGTCGTTGTCCCTTAAAGTGTTAGCACACAGGGCTAAATTGCCCAAGGACTTCYTGACTCAGTTAAGGGCAGGAGGCATTTGGTTCCACCCCCAACATTCCATAAAGTTCTAAACTGTGCCAGGCCACCTGCTAGTCATTGGAATTCCAARATGCAATCAGACTCAATCCCTGTTCAGCCCAGAAACTTACGTCTCAGGAATGAGCCTGAAGATACAAACAGATGATAGATGTACATACAAGATTCAGAAACAAGCTGAAGAGATGCCGACCGGGTTCAGGCACCTGGGATCCAGAATGGAGTCAGGAGGGACCCTAGTGTGCTGAGTGAGGCTGAAGCATGTAGATCAAGGGGGCCTGAGGCAGGGGGAGAGGCCTGAGCCAGGAGTGGGAGCCAGAGAATGAAGGGCCTTGTGGGTGACAAGAAGAATTTGTCATGAAGTCAAGGTAGGTCTTACTTTGGCTTGGACTTCAGATCCATCAGTTCCTTCTCCCTGGCATGAAGGATTGGTTGGAGGGGCCAAGACTGGAGGCAGGGATAGCCTCCACTGGAGGATAGCTCAGTAGCCCCGAGGTGAAATTCTGGGGCTTAAGTTCAAGGTACTGGTGAGAAGTGAGCTATTAGGTGGTAGAAACAAACAAGACTTAATGGCTCAGCTGTGAAGATTTGCCTTCATTGAATTCATAGTTTGGTGGGGACCTGTATTCTTGCTAGGGTTGCTAAAACTAGGTAGCATGGGTGGATGGCCTAGCCAACAGTACTGCCTTACAGTTCTGCAGGTTTGAAGGCCAAAGCCAAGGTGTCAGCAGGGTCGATTCCTTCTCAGGATTGTGGGGGAGAATTCTGTTCCTTGCCTCTATTTTTCTGGCCATCTTTGGTGTCCCTTGGTTTGTAGACACATTATTCTGATCTCTGCTTCATGTTCCAGGGGTCTTCWTCCTGTGCATGCGCCTGTGTCCAGATCTACCCCTTTTTATAAGGATGCCGATCATAGGGAGTAGGGTCCACCCTACTCCAATATGACATCCTCTTAACTGATTACGTCTGCAACAATCCTGTCTCCAGGGACTCGGGCACCTATTCTGGGATCTCTTGGCAAATGCACGTCATATGTCCCCAGAGCCGGCTCCCACAGTGGGTTAGGGAAAAGGAGCAGTTCCGGTGTCATCCGGGGTGGTTGTGAAGGAGAACACGGCAGCTGTTTTGTTCCAAGCTGAGCTGCTGAGTTCTCAACTCCGAGGTCTCTCTGCAGACATATGCACTCTGCCAAAAGAAAGCGGGCCCTGCATGGCTCTGTTCCGCCGTTGGTGGTACAGTAAGAACAATAACACCTGCTATGGCTTCGTGTATGGCGGCTGCCAGGGAAACAACAACAAYTTCCAGACCAAGAGCATCTGCCAAAATGCCTGCCAACAAAAAACGTGAGTCCTGGGGCCCCCATTTCCCCTTGTCACCGGAGCCACACTGGGAGGTCTGGATGTTGATTGATCTGTTCCAAGGGAGCTGTGTCCTTGGCAGACCAGTGCCAACAGAACCCGCTCCAACCAGGAGAGAAGACTGCACCTTGCAGAGGGGAGTTAGGGCTTCCCAGGAACTGAGGGTGGGGAGGGACATGAGGTGAATCAAAGCCAGCCTGAAGGAGGGACAGAGGTGGTGCAATTTCAGAAACCAACTAGAAAGGCCACAGAGCACCCACCTGGCACCGGTCACGCTGACCAGCCCGTCGTACCTTGCCATGGGTTTTCTCATCAGAGAGAGGTCTTTGCCTCAATCCAATCTCATTCCTTGTTCCTTGAAAGAAACTGACAGCTCCCAGTGCAAGCCCAGTGTGAATCTCCTCCTGCAGAAAGGTGTTAAACCCAACCTCAAGTTCAAAGCCAGCTACGTTTTCTACCTCAACAGGCTTGGTTTCCTGAATGGATAAAGATACATGGGGACAACCGYCAGGATTTGGCTCCAGCTCCAGGCTCTGTGCACCTGAGATGCTCCAGGTTGACCCCCACTGTTCCCCGCTCAGCTCAGCTCAGCCCCCCAACTGTTCCCCTCAGCTCAGGGCTGCAAGGCCTTAGAGCTTCCCCACTGTGAACCCCAGGATCTGCCTCCTCCCTCTTCCTCTGTGGCCACCTGTTTTTATGCATGATMCCTTCCTCGTGGATGCCATCTCTGCCTCACCCCATCATCTCTAACTTCCAGAAATCCCTGTTTGCCCCTGTGCAGCTCCCAATTTTTTTTTTTTCAATAAAGTGCTTGGTTTCATCCTGTGCCTCTGAGGTGGAGTGATTCATCTGTCTGGTACATTACACTTTGCAGACAAGAAGAGATCGTTGGAGCTTCCAGTGACCGCATCTGAGAAGTGAGGACAATGAGAACCTGAGAGTCGAGAGCTCCAGGGATATTGTTATCCTCCTCCATTCCTTAAAAATAATAATAMTAATAATAATAAAACTCATAAGGCAAGGGTCCAGGGACGTTGCCTTAACTTGAATGCCCCAGAAACTGACCTTGGGACAAGGGCAGGGTGCACATATCTGATCTAGGAGATGTCCCAAGCACCAGGTGGGAAGGAGAGGAGTCGATCATGAGTTGGCTGCCACTGAGGGAAACAGTAACTCAGTCCTGCCAGGTGCCTTCCCAGGAATCCTGTGAACCACACAGAACATACCTCCAAAGTTTCATCTGTCRCTAGTGCTGGGGAAGCGGAGGTGCTGATCCACGGACTCCCACTGGATTCCTGGGGCATCAATTCCCTCACCCTACCCRGTAGTTCCACATGCAGCAAAGAAGCTCCTGAGGAGCCCAAGAAAACCCTGAGGAGAGAAGTAGGAACTCTGACACTTTGGAATGGGTGGCTGGGTGYGCCCCGGGTGTTATGTGGCCACAAGCAGGAACACCACACACCACACCGTGGATGAACCTGGAAAACATGACGCTATGGGACAGAAGCCCAGAATGACAGTTGATGTAAGTATCCAGAACAGGTTAATCTATAGACATAGGAAGAGCTGCCGGGGGGGGGGTGGAATAGGCAGGGAGGGGGGACAACTAAGGAGTGACTGCTCACAGGTCCAGGGTTTTAATTTAAAGTGACGAAAATGGGGATTAATGGAGGGAGTGGGCACACAACTTTGTGAATGTGCTAAAAAAAAAAGCCACTGGATTCTTCCCCTYGACATGGTCGATTTTACATGATGTGAATTCTACCTCGATTTAAAAAATAGATTAAGACAAAATGTTCTCTGGGACCGACTGTCTCTGGAAGCTGCAGGGGAGACTGGAGGTCAGCCCAGGGAGTGTGGATGGAGCAAGGCCTTCCCCTCTGCAGTGCCTGCTCCTGCTCTCTTCTGATGCTTCAAGACTTAGGTCAATGGGACAGTTCAGGAACTCGCAGTGGGACCTTCTGCCGCCCCGCTGCGGCACTGGTTTTCTGAAGGTACAACTGCAGGGCTTCCTTGAATCTCTTACTCTGATTTGCATCTGACWTTAGAAGGTCTCTGGGAGCTCTGGTCTTCTTTTCTGCTTTCAAAATCGCGTGACCTGGACAGACTTTCTCTGTGGACTCCGTTCAACTTGGAATTCCTCTTTCCTCCCCACACTTACTCACAGCCGTATCTTTGCTCCTTGGCAACAGCTGAAGAAAAGGGGTAAGCGGGCACAGCTGCAGACACCGGGAATCCCAGCAACGTGGGAGACGGCAGGTGTGTGAGGGGGTGGGGAGGCTGAGGCAGGAGGATCCCAGGTTCTAGGCCAAATTGGGCAATTAAGCAAGATCCTCCCTCAAAATAAAAAAATGACAAGGGCTGGGGATGTAGCTCAGTGGTTAAGCACCCCTGGGTTTACTCCCCCAGGACTGCAAAGAAAAGAAAAAATGGACCCAAGAAAACAGAGAGGGGGAAAGAAGAGAAGTGACCCGACAGTGAAAGAGAGTCCTTGAAAAGGAGGGGGCGGGGGACAGGAGCAAGGAAAAAACACAGAGACACAGAGAAGAAAAAGAGAAACCSTGAGAAAAGTAAAGCACCGATAGAGGAACCGGGAGAAGGGCAAAATCAGAAAGATGAGCCTCCACATTGCCCCTGAGAAAAGGAAGGTTCTGGAGCTGTCCACGCCTTCTGCTGGGGGCATCTGGAATGCCCAGCRGGAGTGACCCCTCCCCCTGGTGGRGAGAGCCTAGGACCGCGAGGCYTGGGGGAGGGAGTATGGCTGGCTGRCCTCCAGGCTTGTTTCTTGGAGTGTTGGGCTGTGCTGGGCAGCCACCAACGCTCAGAGGCAGTGCAGAGAGCAGCTACCTAGTTTGGGTGACATCGGCCAGCACTTCCTAAAATGGGACTCTTGGGACTTCTACTATTCCTGGTACCGTTCATCCTCCTGGGGGGTGTCCAGGAACCTGGGCTGGTTGAGGGGTTATTTTTCAGTAAGTATTGGGGACACAGTCCCTCTAATGTACAGAGAGAATTTGAGGGGGACGAAGGACAAAGAAGAGCATCACAGAGGAGGAATGCTCTCCCCACTTCAGCCTGGACCCTGGGTGGGACAGAGGGGCGGTATTTGGAGTCCTTATTTCAGCCCCCTTCCTAGGGGGAACCCGTCTGTAGCAGCTCCCCACCCCACCCCCACGGCATCCTGAGGGGTTCTTCCTGTAGGTGCCTGGACCCCCCATAAAGTGTACTTGAGGAACTAGAGAGCCAGAGGGACTTTCCCCCAGGACACCACACTCCCTAGCAGCACTGTGCTGACTTCCAAACTTCTCCACTGAAGCCCCAAATAAGTTTCCCCACTCCCCCACCCACACCCACAAAGGATCCTTGCCTTTGTGGTAAAGAATCATCTCCCAAAGCCCCTTGCAATATTGAAACACAAAGATTCCAGGATTCGTAGCTGAATGTACTGAGCACTGGAAAAGCAGCTTTGGCAGTGAGTTCTCAGGAGCCACATGCTACAGGTTCCAATCCTGACTGCACTCCTTAATAGTCGTGTGACCCTGGATGAGTTTACATAGCCTCCCTATACTTCAGATTCCTGCTTATTAGATGTGAATATTCATAGTACTTACCGAGGTATTTGGAATGAGGATTAAAGAGAAAAGTTCAGGTGCATAGTAAGTACCTCATCAATACATTATTATATGGTCCCAGGCAGCTGGATGATGGCTTTCCAAACTTTGTTGCATCCGTCTTTGGAATGACCCTCCAGGCAATTGAGGAAAGGAAGGTTTAGACAGGGTCCTGCCATAGGAAAGGCTGTACAGAATGTTGAAGCCCAGCCACCAGATGCTCAAGTGCAGATCTCAATTAGCAGGAGCTACAGCGCCCCCTAGGGGAACCTCCAAGTACAACAAAGCCAAGTGCCTAGAGGAGCATGTTCTCCTCCCAGGAACCTTATACAGGTGGTGGGAGAAGGGTTGGGAATGGGGTTAGGGATTAGGTGATGAGTCATGGGGTCGGGGATGTGGCTAGTGTTTYGAGAATCCTGAGCCCCCTGAGAGTTACTGCCCTCCTGGGGCAGGAGAAGGGAATCAAGCTTCCCCAACTCTGCAGAGGTGCCCTGCTCCTGGGAAGGGGGAGAGACACCCACTTCCAGGCCTCAAGGAAGCATATCTTCTCCTCTCCAGAGTCGTGTCCCAAAGTCAGAGTAAAATGTGAAATCGAAGAAAGAAACCTATGCACRAGGCACAGGCAGTGCCCAAATAATATGAAGTGTTGCATGTTCAGCTGCGGAAAGAAGTGTTTAGACATGAGAAAAGGTACCTACGGATCCCCTGAATGAATGCAGCCCTCCTTCCCCGCCTCCCACACTGGCACTGTCCAGCCCCCTTCCTGGGTCCCTGAGGGCCGGAGCCTGAACAAGCCCTGATGCATCTTCTCCTTGACACAAGTCCCGTCATTGCCGGACTCGGGAGACCCGGACCACATCCTGCCCCTATTTTGTAGGTGATGTGAGCAATGTGGTTCTCCCTTTCTGGACCTCAGTTTCCTTTTCCATAAGTTACTTATGGGTATTGAACCACATGGTCTCTGGGCTCCTGTTTGGTGATCTTCTGAAATGCCAAGTAGCCACCAAAGTCTGGTCAGATGCCAACGTCGCATCAGTTTATGTGATCACCATAAGAGACAGGTGGATGGCTGGTATTTCCTGGCACTTGTCCCCGGGCCTCTCTGTCTCTATCAATCCAGGAAGGTTTCCGTGATCATCTTTGACCTCCTACACTCTTTCCTCTCTGCCCCATATCACTGGGCTCTAAAGAAGACCRTCAAACACTATGCATTCATTTATTCATTCAACAAATATTTGAGAGGACCTCTGTCACCCATGATGGGCTGCACTTGYTTGTTGTGGCCAGGGAGGGCAGGAAGGATTTTTCTATGACTGGGATTCATGGATTCATGGAAAGATGGGTGGTATGCAGGAAAAATTGGAGGGAATTTTCTGGG